TCCTTCTTCAGTTTGCAATATAATTTCCCCCAGCCATTAATTACGAGCCAATAATTACTTGCTCTGATTTACAAAAACTGATCTTTAAAAATTAGAATATTATCAAAAGCATTTCAGCAGGCAGTTACAAAAACTTAATTGCTTGTACCTCACATATTTGAAGATACTACAGCCATTAAAGTTAGGTGATGCTGAATTAAAAAGGTGTTTACATTTTCGGCGTACAGCAGGGTAGATTTATTCAAAAAGCTTCTTTTTCAAACGACAGCCGTTATGCAATAAAAAGTTAAAAATTTTTCTCTTCAATGCTCTAAAGAGAACAAAAAAATCTCATTTTGTAATTTATGGCATGCCAGTTTAAAAAATACTTTTTGACGAGGTAATACTTTTTATCCTTGGAACAATCTGAAACTTGGTCAAACCCACAGCCAATAAATTAAAAAAATGTCTACGAACACTACGTCCAGCTTAGAGTTGTCAGAGACATTCACATCCTTACCTGATTGTCCTGTACCAAAGCACCGAGTCTTGGACTCAGTGGTTTTGTGAGGATTCAGTTTGGCAAAGCTGCAAATTATTTCACTTCCTGATTTTCTATCTCTACTCATTTATCTCACATATAAGAAATTGAGCCTGAATCTTCGCTTTTAATCTTTTGCCATTAAGTCAAAGTAATCTTAGGTGTTTGTGACCTAAATACTACTCTTAATTCCTTCTTTCATATCAAAAAAGTTGTGTTACCCACATACCTATAGTATAAATAAAAAAATAAAAATAAATAAATGAAGAGGTTTACAAAACGTTTCAAGAACTTCAAAAAACCCTATAAAATTGCTAAAAATTTGTAAGACTTGTTCACAAACCATAGTGGTCGCTTGACTGCAAGCAAAACTTACTTCTTCGCACAGTTTACCAGTAGTACCAGCTTGACATCTGCATACACCTTGATTGTTAACAACTTCGCATTCCGCGTTGTTCATACAAAGCATAGTTGAACAAGCATCCAAGCAAACAGCCTAAAAAACATATGCATACCTACGAGAAACCAGAAATTCCGATGCTCATTTAAAAAAA